TCAACAACGCCCGGGTTGTTATTCCAGCGACAAAAGGCTCCTCGTCCGAGCCATCACCGACGTGAAGCAGACCATCGGGGGTTTTGAAATCCGTGAAAGTAATCGGTCGAAAGTCATCGGCGCCATCTTGGTACGCCATCTCGCGCACAATCTTCACAACTTCATCGTGGTCATCATTGCAGCCAAGCTGTGTCTTTGAATAGTAGTGGACAAAATTTTGAATGGAGAGCAATCGTGGCACCGATTCCCCTTGTAGACCAAATTGGACTCGAAGCGCATTACGAACGCGGACTGGCTTCACCCTCTGAGCAGCAAGCTCTCCACAATACTTCTTCTGCTGTCTTGTAAGTTTCACGCGTCGGGGCGACGCTGCATCTGACCAATGGCGACCGGCTTCATACACGGTCATTCTGTGGGTGGTAGGGCAGGTGAGGACCTTTCCGCGCCATTCACAGCGGCCTTGCAAGCACGCTGCCGACGTGCACTCGAGAAGCCGGTACTGCATGTTATGCTTCGTTGCATCTCCACAAATCGTGCAGCGAGTCGTGTTGCACCTTGTAATACGCGACGCCTTCCTGGAATCGAGCAGTTCGATCCCGTCATCTTGCGCTACGGCGTAGGCCAGCTCCCGCCACTCGATGGGATCCCTCCCCATCGTGGCTTAAGGTTGACACGAATCCACAAGCGAGAGTGGCAGCGATTGAGACACTGTGCAGCCAGAGTATGTACCGTGCTGTAGTCACAAGTACCGTATTGGTATTTAATGGTACCGTTTCTGTGTGAAAAGTACCGATAGTTGATTTTGAGTGCTGTTCCTGAGCCCCTCACGCTCAATATTGGTCGGAAGCAGGCAAGCGGCACGCCGTTCTCTTCGTCTTCATCTACCACACATGAATTAACTATGCTTTTTCTTCTTCGAGCTATATCTCCAGAGTTATTAGGCTAGCTCGGGGGCACCTCATGTGCCAGTCAATTTGTGGTCGACGAGTACGACGGCCAGGGTGGCCACAAATAGAGCCGGATCCGGTGCATTTTTTTGGCATTGTGTGGAGGCACTGGCAAATTATGTGCCCGTCAGTGATGTCTCTGTGTTTTTCAGTGTTTTGTGTGTTATTCAGATCTTCAATGTGTTTATATATTTAATGTGATACCACGCATTAAATGTGCCAAGATGGATTGTTCTGAGTTTTCAAGTGGTTGTCCTTCTCTTCGACCTCACCTCAGTCTGCCGCTGTCTCGACTCACTACTAAGATATCTTTCTGGTCACTTCAAATGTTAAATGCTCGATCGCTTACTTATGTCTGGAGACATTAGAGAGGCTCCTTGACAACCGGAGCGAAGCGGAGGTCTGTCAGGGGACGGCTCGTGGGCCGTAGGAGAAGTAGGTTCTAACGTAATCTTAAGATGCGACCACGATGCACACCGGAGCGTAGCGGAGGTCGTGCGTTCCGCGATCGCCTGAGTAGGTTCCCGTTGAAGCCCCGAAGTGCAGCGAAGGGCGCGTGGACTGGACCGGAGTACGATTAACCATGCATTAATTCAAAAGTAACCGATCGAGCACATAAAATTTGAAGTGACCGATTCTTAAATTAAGAATCGGTCACTTCATTAAGAATCTTAGTTCAAAAGTAACTGATTCTAAATATCCACCCATTTTCACTGCTCCGCTCGTGAAAATATCACAACGTCCAAGTTTCGATTAGGTAGCAGCATCCAGGAACAACCAGTAGATCAACTTTAATTCCATTCAAGGACGTTTTTTGCACTCCCCCCAAAGTGGAACTGTCACCGGCCTGAAACTTATTCAATGCTATGGAAATGATCAAAATCGGCGAGAATGGCGACCGCGTCAAAGCTCGAAAGCTCGAAAGCTCGAAAGCTTCTGTCATGATATCGAGGTGTAAAACTTTATTTCTTTTAACCCATGTGCCGATCGCTGGAAACGTTTTCAGCAAAATGCCTTTTTCAAGTGCTTTATATGGTCTCTCTAGTCGTTGCGGGATCTAGGTGAAAACAATACACTTCTATTCATCAGTAGAAACCAAAAATCATTCAACGTTGAGTAAACTTATCGAATAAATAGTACTTCAAAGTACCATGGACCATAGTCCATGGTATATAAATTTAAGCAGAAATGGATCGGCATACCGCCATCATTGATCCACACCGCGAACACAGAATACGTGACGCCTAGCAACTATAACTCGCTAATCTTGTAACATTACCTTGGTAGCTGCCACACCGGTTCTTTGTTATTCGATAGATCTTAACACAGATTATTTGTCATTTTTAAATGACAAATTAGGGGATTCTTTAAAAAGAATCCCCTACTTCTTGTGCAACCAACCATGCGTTTCACCTTCTTCCTCGACTTCGTTGTGGTGGCGATCGCCATTGCTAACGTGGGGCTTGCTACTGCTGAAGACGAAACCCACGATAACGACAAGCACATTGCTTTGAACAAGATAATCAAGCGTCTCCGCGGGAGTCACAAGTAGTTCTCCCCAATGTGGTGACCCAAGTGCCTTGTGTAAACGACGGGACCCTTTCGAAAACGGTCGAGCTCGCAAAGCCCTCACCTGCCGCAGCATCTGCCCGAGTCGGGCAGCCCGACAATGCTTCACTGTGTCAGTGAGCAGACGAGTATGTAACGTTATTACTTCTTCAAGCAAATAAAATAGAAACGAACTACGACTCGTGGAATTGCGGATTTCAACCGCTGTGAGAAAGTATTATATCGTGCCTACTTGATCAATTGGCGAGTCAGAAAAAAACTCATACCGGTTCATGACCATTTCCGGACCGATGTACATCGCCGCAATTAAACCTATTTGGGCTGGTACATGTATATCAGCGCGGTTGCCTTTATTTTGGTTCTTATGCAGATCAGGTCCAGGATTTGAACATGCTGATTGTGAACAGCTTTGGATCACGGCATGACTGGGTTCCTTAGCGCGTGCTCCGTTCGGCTTCCTACTCTAGCAACAGTTCGTGGTGCTGTATCTACGTGAAAGGGTGTGCATTTTGGCCGGTTACCTTGGCTCAATAGGTATTTTGGCAGTAGATAGTGTTCAAAAGCATTGTATTCACTGCTTACATGGACTATCACCTACTACACTGTATCGGATAGGTAGAACGAGTCGCCGCAGCAGTCGAACATGCCTCCCTTTCCTACTTCTCTTGACAGCAAGATTCATTATCTGCAATAGCACACGCTGTTCATGTTTCTAGTGGTGCTCAAAGTCCAAATGCAGTTGCTGCAGTGAGTGCATTGTATCCCATTCGCGACTGGTGTTTTTTTAGTCAAAGCAGTGCACACCTGGTTTGGTTTCCGTTCACACTCTCTGTGAGCTGCCAGCTAAGACGCAACGTGGAGACTCACTCAAGCAGACAACTGCTTGAGCTTCGTCTACAACTGCTTGAAGCTCACCTACACATGCACATCGTAGAGATAGACCATCGAAAGCAGAGGAACTTCGGTAGGATAGCTTTCAGCTAGACATCTATCTCATCAATTTCATCAGTTCCAATTTCACCAGCAAGGACTCGTGACATTTAGCTTTAGCTAAAACGTAGCGAATCTACGAGACTTCACCACGCCGACCGCCAAGATGTCCAGCAGCGACTCAGCAGAGGTGACCTTCGAGAAGGTCAAGAGCAACGGAGCTATGGTGAAGAAAAGGGTGCCCACCTTCCGCGACGGAGACTGGAAGGACTGGCTGGAGTGGCTACTCCGCCTTTCTGAGTACTGTGTGTTCATGGACTATGCGGCAGACGACGAAGAGGACTAAGTGGCGTTCGTGGAGGATATCCAAGTCCTTCTCTTCGATGAAGATCTGCAGCAATTCAACGAAACCGTGGCCGAGGAGAGCATCCTGTGGCCCACGACTGTCGCCCTTGTCGAGATTCATTGCCCCGACGGAACCCGAGGCGTGATTCTCGACGATATGTCTGCGCTAAAGAAGACGCGCAACGTCAGTGTGCGAGAGTACACCCGTAGCTTTCGGAAGCTCGGGCGCATGCTGAACTACATCACGGACAATGAAGCCATTCCGACGTCTGACGTGATCAGAATGTACAAGAGTGGCATGCCGATTGACTGGCAGATTGAACTGAACCGACTATCGCGCAGTTGGGAGTACAATGACTTAGTGCACCAATTTGAGCTGATCGAGCGCAATGAGCAAGAAGAAGTAGTGCTCAGGAACGGAGGCCGAGGGTTGCGCTCGTGCTCTGGCCAGAGTGCACAGCAGCAACAGAAGGACAAAAACCTGGGGCGAGGCCAGGCCCCTCGCCAGAATAACCAAAGTAGTCAGCCGCGTGGACAGCCACGCCAGCACCGTAATGACGGGAACCACGGGAAGTACTGCAAGTTCTGCAAGCGCAACAACCACACGGACGCGGAATGCTTCCGCAACCCGGACTCACCGGCGTACAGGCCACGCCGGCCCAACAATCGTGGCTCAGGCACGAACAGCATCCACAACAACGGTGGCAGCGGCAACGACAGAGCCTTCGCCGCCATGCAGGAGCAAGTTGCTGAGTTGGCAGCCATGATGCAGGAGATGAAACGCCGCCAAGAGGAGGAGTTGAATGCTCTACGCTTCTACCGTCAGGACGAGTTGAGCGTGATGATCGATGCCGAGCTCGTGGATGAGCAGCCGCCTGACGATGAAAGTGCGGAGACACTAGCCCCCTTGCGGCAGCAGCGTGCAGCTCCGCCTGCAGGACAGAAGCCATGTCTCGAAACGGAAGTCCGCATTGGTGAGCAGACGTTCCGCGCTCTTCTCGACACTGGTTGCACCAGGTCCGCCATTGACCAAAAGATTGCAGACACTATGAAGAAGGGTCTCAAGTTGCGACGCCAGGATGGATCGTACCTGATGTCGAACCACTCCGTGCACAAGACTACGCACGTGGCCGATACTGTCTTTTGCCTACCAGCATTTTCGAGCAAGCGTGAGTGTTCATACACGCTAAGACTGGTTGATGGACTTTTACACCCGGTAATTCTCGGCACCGACTTCCTTTCGAGTCACGGCACCGACATTTTGTTCTCGGCAAACTGCCTTGAGTGGGATGACATTCGTATCCCGATGCATGCTCCGCCGCCACCAGCAGCTAAGGTGAGTGCGTCAGCGCCGATGCTTGGACCCCAGCCGCCAGCAGCAAACGCGATCAAGACGGAGCTCGACATCAACTATATGGTGGAAGTTGCAGTGTCGGAGCTGGTCGATGCTCTCGACCCCGTCATGATGATCGACGGCGAGATGCTTTCGCCTTCGGAGCGAGTTGAAGTGGAGCATTTGGTTGAAGCATTTATGCATGTATGCTCGGGTGGTCTTGGCAAGATCAACGCCAAGCCGTACGTGATCCCATTGAAGCCCGGAGCGAAACCATTCGCGTGTCGTCCGTATCCGATCCCACAAGTGCACCTCGAGGCGACAAAGCGAGAGATCAACCGACTAGTGAAGCTTGGCATCCTGTTCCCTAACAACGATTCGGAGTGGGCGTCGCCGGCCTTCGTGATTCCGAAGAAAGACGGATCAGTGCGACTGTTATGTGACTATCGCAGACTCAATCGACTACTGCTACGCAGCTTCTACCCGCTGCCAGTGATTGGAGAACTGCTGCGCCAGTTCCGCAAGTCTAAGTACGTGTCATCGCTCGACATCCCTATGAGCTACTACGCGCGCATCCTCGCGGAGATTAGCCGACGTCTCACGGCCATTGTGTTCCCGTGTGTTCGGCTGCTTACCTATGGGAGTGAGCACAGCATCGGATGAGTTCCAGTCGATTATGAACATGATGCTGGGCGATCTGGATGGAGTTTGGGCGTACCTGGATGATGTATTGATACTGTCGGACATTTTCGAGGAGCACCTGGAATTGCTGCGACGCGTGTTCGAGAGCTTCGAGGAGTTCGGCCTGACGATCCACCCTCGTAAGTCGAAGCTGTTCACGACGTCGACGGACTACCTGGGCTACAGGATCAGTACCACGGGGATTCAGCCATTGCACAACAAGGTGGAGGCGATTGAGAAGATCGCGTCGCCGCGCACGCGCCGTGAATTGAGGCGCTTCATTGGCATGGTCAACTATTACAGGGACATGTGCCCCAGACGAGCTGCAATTCTCTCACCGCTGACGGCATTGATGTCGCCTTCGGGTTCCCTTCCGGTGGTCCGACGAACATGAAGCTGCATTTGCTCGGATGAAGACCACAATGATGCAGATAGTCGAGTTGGCATTCCCAGACTACTGCAAACCATTCCATGTGCACACTGATGCCTCTGGCTACCAGCTTGGAGCCGTGATTTCGCAGGATGGAAGACCCCTTGTGTTCTGGTCTAAGAAGTGCAATGATGCGCAGAAGAAGTACCCAGCCAACAAGCTCGAGTTGCTGAGCATCAAGTTGGCGTTGCAGGAGTACAGGACGATGCTGCATGGACACGAGGTCCACGTCCACACTGATCATCTGAACCTGACCTACGGAACCTACAACAACATACACATGCTACGCTGGCGACTCGAGATCGAAGAGTTTGGGCCGGAGCTACACTACGTGAAGGGAGAAAACAATGTGGTCGCCGACACCCTTTCGCGGCTACCCCGTGCTGATGACTCGGACGTCCAGCAGCAGGAGACACTGGTTGCAGTCGCTGCTATGGACTTGACTACCCTCAGCAACGTTGACCTATGGGAGATTGCTCGCTGTCAGAAGCGAGACGGCACAGCGACGCTGGAAAGCGCCACGACGAAGGAGATTAACGGCGTGGAGCTGCAAGTGGACAGCAACACGGGCCGAGTCATCGCCCCCTCGAGTCTACAGACCCCCATCATTGCTGCTCACCACGAGTGGCTTATCCACCCCGGTGTGGCGGCCATGTTGAAGACGATGCAGAATGCATTGACGTGGGCCGGCATGGCACGCGACGTCGAGAAGAACGTCCGCAGCTGCCTCATTTGCACAAAGAACAAACATCCTACTGTCAAGTACGGCAAGCTGCCGGAGAAGACTGTAGTGACGAGACCATGGTTCGAAGTGGCGATCGACTCCATCGGACCGTACGGCAAACAAAAATTCGGAGTTTACACAATGGTCGACACCACCACTCGACTAGTGGAAAGGCAAGCAGTGGCCGACGCATCCAGCGACGAGACTGCCTACCTCTTCGACCGACTTTGGTTGTGCAGATACCCTCGCCCTGGCCGTGTGATCTACGACCAAGGCACCGAGTTCAAAAAGGAGGTCTTCGAGCTGCTTCAGAGCTACGGCATCACAGCAGAATCGACAACCACACGTAACCCGCAGGCCAGCAGCATCATCGAACGACTGCATCGCGTGATAGGCGACAAGATGAGGACGCAATAGATCGTCACACACGATGACTGAGAAAACTTCCTACACAACGCAACGTTTGCATTGAGAGCGTCGGTGCACTTCATGCTCGGTGTTTCACCAGCACAAGCAACATTCGGCCGCGACATGATCTTCGACGTGGAGCACCGACTGGCACGCACAGCACGCTCGAAAGATAGAACAAGTGCGAAAGAACAACCTGCGCGAGAATGCAGGGCGACGTGCGTGGGCATACCAGCCAGGAGATCGTATCCTACTGAAGCGCGACGGCAACATCAACTCCAAGTTGACGACGTTGTACGACGGCCCGTACACTGTGCTTGCCGTTCGCGACAACGGAACGCTGGTAATTGATAAGGGGCGATACACCGAGACGGTTCACATCCCCCGTGTCGTCCCTTACAAGGACCAGCGTGGGGAAGACTGTGAGCTGCCAGATAAGACGCAACGTGGAGACTCACGCAAGCAGACAACTGCTTGAGCTTCGTCTACAATTGCTTGAAGCTCACCTACACATGCACATCGTAGAGATAGACCATCGTAGCAGAGGAACTTCGGCAGGATAGCTTTCAGCTAGACATCAATTTTCACGAGCAAGGACTCGTGACACTCTCAGCATCGACACTCCAGTGTTGGCAATTAGCACATATCTTGTAAAATTAGTTTACCAACAAGTAACAGGTACATGTACTTTAGAATTATGTAGCATAGCTACGGCATGTGATCGACATGTTTCACTCATGCTTGACTAGGAGAAATATATAGCGTTTCAGCTCGTAGCGAGGTGCCACAGCCGCAGCACGGCAACAAACTCTCCAAAGCGAAAACGTTGCACTGGGACCAACCTTACCAGCAGACGGAGTAGCAGCAGCAGCGGCGGCGACAGCAGCCTGAGCACGTGGCAGGAGTGGCGCACGGCGCAGTGGTCAGCTACGCCGACTTGGACAACAGGGGCATCAACGATGTATCCGGATACCTGCGTGGACTTGTCGCGCTCCGCACTCACGAGGCATGTGGAGCGCCTCCGTCTGCACGAGTGCACGCACAGGTTTGTGCGTCACCTGTTCTTACCGCGACGGACGGCATCTTCAGCTGCACCACATCACTTTTCGCGTCCTCGCCCACCAAATAGTATAGCTTGCACAGCGCAGTATGGCGCGCTGCACGTAGCGCGAGGCCGACTTGACCCATCGATTCCATAAGCCACTTCCTGGCCGACTGCTGCTTGTGCTCTCCTGACGCATCTTGCCCACCTGCTCCCACTACGATGGTGCTGCTGCATATTCTCGGCCTCTCCGATGGCCCCTTGCTGCTCTGCTGGTGGTGCTTGCGCTGGGAAAAACTATGGAGCTCGAGGTTACGGAGCTCGAGGTACCAAAAATAGGCAAATGGGTACATGGACCTAAAATTGAATCACCCTAAATTTTGGTCGGTTTGCTGATCTAAGAAAATAGTCCAGATAATTGCCGTCCATCGGCAAATATGTACCATTTTAAAAAGTCAGACTGTTGATTATGCCACATACTTAGCCCGATGTTTATACTGGAAGAGTCGATCTGCGTTGTACTCAACAGCGTTTAATTAGTCGAACGGATAATTTTCGTCTTTGATACTGGCCCGACAATTTTATTAAGATTCAATCTGTTCAACTTAATAGATCTACAGTTCCGAGTCGTAAGCGATGCCTCATCCTAGTGATATCATCACTTCAACGGGGAGAGGGGGTTTCTGTTGCGGCATCAAATAATCAGATACAAGTAGCTTTATTGCTATCCCAGAAATATTATTTGTTAGATTAATGACAAGGCATTAGTTGCTGCGTAAACAAGTAGGTCGTGGAGACCAAGGATGGTACCAACGCCTCTGAATATGAAAAAAATGCAGATCTTGGCATAAATGTTCAGATTTTTTCCACACCAATTCGTCCTCAGACGGTGGCAGTGGCTCAGCATCGAACTCAATGCGCCCTCAAGTGGGCCCATCAGCGACCTCGAGCTTCCTGCATATCCATCGATTGCAAGTACAGTACAGTATTTTTCGCAGGTCGAAGACCTGTGCTTGGCCTCGGCTTGTAATTTTCCAAAAACGGGTACCAAACCGGGTCTCTCTTTCTTAATTGTAATGTTTAAGCTAATATCTGCTGGAATCGGGTACCTGTCGGTAAATGTTAAGATTTGTGTAAATTATTTACCATAGGCTGATACTAATCGTTTATTATTTACTAAAACCTGCATTCAAACTCTTACGGACGCTCCAGCACACTATGAGAGCGTCATGGCTTCGCTGAAGGCGTATCGCTTTGCGCGATAATCGACCAAACTTAGCTGAAGATGACCAACATGACTTGTCTAGGTGCAGACTGCATTTTTTACGTGTCAATTTGCTCAATACCCAATCACTCTAAGCCGAAGATGCCCAACCTCGTGTCTGTCGCCAAACCAATCAGCTCAACTCGACAGTGGTCCATTAGCGTATTCCTCATTCCGCAATTTACCCCCCAAACCCTTAAGTTAAAAGTTTGTTTGTTTGTTTGTTTTGTTTTTGAATTGAGGTTCATTATTGTCACTTAGATAATATCCTCAAGTTAAAAGGTCAAGGTCAGCACATCATGCGTCTCTCCTTCGTTCCGCTACTGTAGCTCTCTCGTCTGATCGTTAGCGCACAACATAGTTCTAAAATGAGCACAGTATACCTTACCTGCAAAATGAATGAAATAGCTCTCTCGTTGCTGGCGCCAACGCAGCCATTGGACGCTGACCAGGGTGTTATGTCATCGATGGCCTCATCAGACCAAGCAACCTCAATTGGTGACTTTCGGTTCCTGAGAACTCACCACGTCACGTGGTTACCAGCCTCACAAAGGTTTGGCTGAAACATCATTTCCGTATCGATACATTTCGATGTGCGCAACTATTTGTTCGATTACGCATTCTCGGGCAGACGCAGTTGTCGCGAGTGCCCTGGATGGGACGGTCAAGCGTTGTATGGAAGCCAGTGGCACAAATAGCGAGAAACAGAGCTAATATGCAAAAGCAATCAACTTCTCTCCAGTGACTCACCCTACTTCCTTACCGCGCACGGAGCCTGACAGCTCGTGCTTCCTTCTTCTTTCGGCTCTCTGTCGGCTCTCTGTCGGCTCACGTGCCGACTTCAACACGTCGCCGGCTCACCTGGCTCTCGTCTCACCCCTTCGTCCTTGGCTCACCTCACAGCTCACATCCCGAGCCACGCGGTGCTCGTGACCCCCGTCCTGCCCTTCGCGTCACTGCTCACTCATCGCTCGCGTCACTGCTTCCATCACAGCCGAGTGCGCCACCTAACCGACGCGTCGCCAGTCAGCGCCCCTCCGAAATGAATGACTGCCCGCTCACCGCATCGTCCAACAGCTGATCCTCCAGAAGTCGATCGCTGGTCGAACGGTCGTCCGTGTAGTAGGAACGGTGGTGACCGTTCCTACTCGGGACATCCTCCCCGACTGAAACTCGACGTCCTCGTCGAGTTTCCAGTTTGTCGGCTTGCATCTTGGCACGCAGGTCACGCTGTTCGGCGCGCAACCCACTGAGCGTCCTCACGGGTTTCTTATCGCCTACGCAGCTGTCCGCACGCCAGAACGCTTCGCTCAAGCGCTCAGTCTGCTCCAGCTCCTCCAAGTCTTGCTGTCATTGCGAATAGCGATCCTTGTCCATTTTCAAGGACGAACGCCCACCCGAAGTCGCCTCATACCGTTTCAGCAAGTGGCTGGCCACGCAGGTCGCCACCACATAACAACCCCACCGCACTACCGTCTCGTCGGGCACGAGTCCGTCGCCGACGACTAGACCTCCATCAGCCAATATGTAGTTCAGCGTCAGCAGGAGCACTGCGACGCCTACGTTCCTTGGCACACTCGCTCCACGAAGTCGTACACGAACACGACCGTGTAGAAGAGGGCGTAAGCCAGCAGCGACACGAACGCCCAGAACCCACGACACGCACAGCTCGCACGGTCTACCGTCCGTCTGCACTCGGCCTTGGACCCTTTCCAGTACTTGGCCATCGACTTGCAGCTGATCTCCATTACGTCAGGCAAGAAGACGCACCACAACGCGTCATACACTTCCAAACACTTGTGTAGCAGCCTGCCGAGGCCTTCGGTGTGCTCTCCACGAGCCTCCAACACGATCATGGGCGTTGCCCAAATTGCTTCGAACGCTTTCCATCTCCGTTCCGCAGCCGGTCGACCTTGCACGGCCGGACCGTTCACAAAGCGACGGTAGCGCCTCAGGCACACCCGCGCCAGCGTAGACCACTTGTAGACGAAGGCGAAGACTGCGCCGAGCAGTCGACCCGCGATACTCCACAGCGGCCTCGTCACCACTCCGCCAATCGCGCCAACGACCAACAAAACGGTCACCCACCAATATTTGCACAGCACCGTGAGCGCGACGCGCCACAGCACCAACGAACTCCAAAAGCACCACTCGATCATTTCAATAGTCGTCTCCATCTCGCCACCGTGCGAATGATAAAATGCCGCCCTTAGAGCTGCATGAGTCCGCCGTTCCTGCTTACTAGCGAGGTCTGCAGCCGTCGCACTCAGCACTTCGGTAGATTCAGCAACCCACCGTTACATTTCGTCAATTCACCGTGTTTGACACGACCGTGTCGCTCGTCAACCGCGTATCTCCCTTCCCCGACAGGAAATCACAGACCTTCAACTTCCAACGGTCGAGTCGTTGTCCATCAGTAGCTCACGCTCATTGGCTTCTTGTCCTCATTTCAGCTTTGGTCGAGACAAGAGCAAGTCGCCCAAGAACCCCACCACAATAGCCAAGTCTCGCGACGATAACAAGGCCGCCATCATCCGACGACTGCGCTCGCGCTTGGACCGCAAGACGCGCGGCGTCAGCGCCGAGACCGACGCGCGACTGCGCGCGCAAGTCGCCTTCTACGCCCAGCTGCGCAGCTCCATCTTCGTCAACGGCGACTCGCTCGGCGTTACGGCCCTCGGCAATGTGGCCGTGGCCGTGCTGGCCGACGACACGCAGTTGCCCGCGGAGCTCGCGCGCACGGTGGTGCTGCTGCCAGCGCAGTCACTACGATGGACACGGGGCCCGCGCCCGCGCCCGACCTCTTCGCTGCTCAAGCTGTTCCTGCGCCCGCGACCAAGCGTCCGGCCGCTTCGGGCGCCGATCACCAGGAGGCCCCCGCCGCCAAGAAGCAGCGCAAGAGCTCGCGCACCCCGCAGTACATGTTCGACTTGCCGGACACCTTCCCCCGCGACGTTCAGCTGGTCAAGGCCGCCGCCAAGCAGGGCAAGACCCCGCCGCGAGCAGCGTACCCCATGGGCCGGGCAGCGCGCCTGGTACGACCAGGAAGAGTTTCCGGAGCTCTACCTGATGCACTGGCGCTACTACATGCGCCACCGTGACACGTTCTTCGACTGTGCGCTGTACGCGCCAACGGACAACTCGGAAGCTCGCCGCCGCGACAAGCTCAACGCGAACCAAGGCCGCCTCGTGCTGGTGAGTGCATACTTCTGCCTCTTCGGCTGGTACGGGTTCCTCGACCGCTTCGAGAACACCGTTCACGACAATCTCATGTGGCTCGGAGGCAAGGCCGCCAAGCGTTCCGTGTCGGCCAAGGGCAAGGCCAGCTCGGCGACGGACCTCGTCACGCTGTGGCGCCACGTCCGTTACCGCTACGACAGCCTGATGGCTCGCATCCTGGATCCGTGCCGCGTCGAAGAAGACGGTTATCAGAGCATCCGTGAGCTGCTGGAGCAGACGGAGGCTTTGGACCCGACTCGTCCCCCGCACCTTCGACTCAGTGACGAAGCTCTGGCTCGCGTTGCGCTCGACGCGGGCCGCAAGCCTCCTAACCCGGTCTGGGTCGGCAACAAGAGCAGCGGTATCTGGAAGACGCTGCTGACGAACAGCCGGACCCGCGCGCTCCAGGTCAAGATCGCCAAGCAGCTCAAGGAGGGCACGTACTGGATCATGGACTTGAAGCCGTTCCAGCGCACGGAGCAGGGCTACAACGACTCGGTCTACGCCAACAACGACGGCACGTTCACCGTGCAGCCGCCGTCTCCGCCCGTCGACGAGGAGCTCGAAGACGTCGAAGACGACGAGTCCGAGGAGAAGCCGTCCACGCCGAGCCCCACCGAAGAAGACGAGCCCGACGACCAAGAGCAGGACGACGCCGATCAAGACGACAAAGCCGAAGACGACGAAGGCGGCCGCAGCTCGGACACCCACGACGCTCTCGAAGACGACAAGAAGAGCAGATCCGGCGACGACAAGGGCGGCTCGTCGGCCAAGGGCAACTCCAAAAAGAAGAGCTTCGACTCTTCGAGCTCCAAGTAGTTTTCCGTGAATCAGGGACGCTCCTGACCGTTCATTCTTTCCGTATTACTCCATGCGTCCCTCCAATTAATCTCAATAACAACACGCAAACCGTTTTCCACTCGTTCCGTTCGTGAGTCTTGTAGTTCGACCGTTCATAACATCACTCCACGACCGTTTCTCCAAAACACAAACGCCCCCACCGTTGACCGTGCTACGACATTAGCAGGTCATCATCCTCCACTTCTTCGTTGGCATCGGCCAGCCGCGAGCTTCGACGCAACTCGGGCAGCCGCAACTTCTTCCTCTGGGCTTGTTCAAAAGCCGTCACTAGGGCCTCAAACTCAGGCATCAACTCTGCCTGAGGCACCCAAAACGTTTCGTAATTCGCAACCAACACCAGGTACTCCACAGAACGGTCCACCGTTCGTTTCCCACACATTGCTAACAACGGTGAGTCGACACCAGTGAGGACCGTGTCTCCCTTGCCAACGGTCAGCCGATCCGTGAAATTTGACGCCGGGAGATCGGACTCCTCTAGAGGTCCTGCATCCGCGTCTCCTTCACCGTTTTCGACACCGTCCGGCACGGCATCCATGTACGGCCGTGCCCACTTGCCACGAAACTTCTTCAAACGGTTCACATTGACCGTGACCACCTTGTCAGGATGCGACGGGATGTCAATCCGGTACGCATTATCGCCCACTTTCGCCACAACTCGGTAAGGACCGTGCCACGCGAACGCTAGCTTCTTCGTCCGCGCCTCTCCTCGCTTTTTCCGGAACAGTTGATACAGCCACACCGGGTCTCTAACCTCGTACTCCACGGCTACACGGTCACCCAACCGTTTTTCAGGACGGTCTAGAGCCTTCACCAGTTGACGCTCGACCAGATGGCGAGAATCACGCAGCGATCGGTATAACTCCCGTCGATACAGAGCCACATCGTTGCTCTTCCACATCTCCCCCAGGTTCAGGAACGCGACGTCCAGCGGTAGCGTAGCACCACGTCCGAAGAGAGAGAAAAGAACGGTGTATCGCCCAACGCCTCATGATAAGACGTACGGTAGGCAAACAACACTCGAGGCAAATACAGATCCCAGCCCGTTTGCGCTTCACTCACGTGCATCTTGAGCATTCACATGAGCGTTCCGTTGAACCGTTCCACGAGACCTTGAGTCTGCGGGTGATAGGCAGAACCGAACAGCTTCTTGATCACGACCATTTGATAGAACGACTTAGCGATTTCCGACGTGAAATTCCGACCGTTGCCACTCAACAACCGTGAAGGCACACACAACACCGTTCACCACGACGCCCACGAACGTGACGGAGTCCAATCGTAGAACTGCGAAGGCTTCGGCCCACCTCGTGAGGTAGTCCACGAATACAAGAATGTACTTGTTGCCTCGTTCAGTCTCCGGTAACGGTCCGACGGCATCGACCACTAGTAGCGAGAACGGTCCCGTGAGATCGGCTACGGGCATCCGTTGCATCAGCCCCGCTTGCCACGGTCTTGAGCCCTTCCCACTACCACAACGGTTGCACTCCCGGACGTACTCCGTGACATTCTTTCTCCATACCGGCCAGAACGCATGTCTCCTCACCATCTCCAGAGACTTCGTCAATCCCAAGTGAGATGACAGAACGTCAGAGTGACAGTAGTGCAACACGGTCTCCACATACGGTAACGGAACCACCGGAACGGTCAAGGGCCGTGCAGGCCCGACCCGAGCTGGTAGATTCACACGCCGCATCAATAAACCGTTCCGCACTTCATATTGACGTCCCATCTTGACAACAGTCGCTCACAGGAAGGAGTCGAGAGGCAAGGCACCGTCCAGCAGGAATGCCACCAGAGCCTTGATCCACGGCACTTCTTGCTGCGCTTCTACGAACTGCTCAGAGTCGAGTCCGAACCGGTCCACAGGGGATATCGGCACATCCGTTACCGGACAGCTGCCAACGTCCTCGTTCGGACGGTCAGGTTCGTCATCATCCACACGTCTATCTGCACGCTCGCCAGCAACATCCTCACCGTTCACAAGTTCACCATTTGTACCAGGCTACTCCCCGACTGAAGCCGGAAGCACGTCATCGACCGTGCTCTCAGGATTCAGGAGGTCGCTCATCGTCAGAGCCGCCACCGTGTCCATCGGCAACCGTGACAGACCGTCAACATGACCCAAAGAAGCACCAGGTTTGTGATGAACTTTGAACTGGAGGTTCGAGAGCTCCATCGCCCACCGTGCAAGCTTAGCGTTCGTCGTACGGTTACCGGGGCTGAACACCCACGCCAGCGTCTGGTGGTCCGTGTACAAGTCGAACTCACGCTTGTCCAGGTAGCAGCGGAACTTCCTCGTCGCCCAGACAACTCCCCAACATTCAATCTCCGAGATGCCATCTTGTTGTTGATCCAGTTCTTCTGCGATCCAGTCAACACCTTACTAGCGTAGGCCACGACACGGTCACGACCGTTCATTTCTTGCATCAAGCAAGCGCCAATGACGAGTCCACGTACAACTTAAACCGTTTCTTGCCATCAGGATAGACTAGTATCGGGGGCTTCAAGAGCGCACGCTTCAACTGTCTAAACGCAGCTTTACAGTCCTCGTTCCACACGAACGGTGCGTCCTTCATCTTCAACCATTCCGTGGGCGCAGAGATCGACGCATACCCCGGGATGTAGCGATGGAAGTAACTCGTCAGACCCAGGAAAGAGCGGATCCCATGAACGTCCACCGGACGCTTCCCGTTCATCACAGCCTTCACTTTCGCAGGATTAGGCAGGATCCCAGTAGGAGTCACGATGTGCCCCAGGAACGCAACTTGACTTCGCCCCCAGTGACACTTCTTCATCTTGAGCTTGAATCCAGTCTGCTGGAACCGTGTCAGCACTTGGCGCACGGGAACCATATGAGTAGGGAAGTCCTTGCTGAAAAAGGACACAGTCATCGAGATAAACCAAACAGATTCGCCACTTGAGGTCTACCAAAAACGGTCTCCATCAACCGCTCAAACGCTGGGAGAGCGTTGCAATGGCCAAACAGCATCACTAACCATTCGTACAGACCATATTTGCACGTGAAAGCGGTCTTGGACACGCTGTCCGGGTGCATCGGCACGTTCCAGTAGCCAGAAGCGATATCAATCGTCGAAAACAGTTGAGCGTCGCCCAACACGCCCAGAATATTATCAATCAACGGCATGGGGTAACAGTCCTTCACCGTTACCGCGTTCAACTTACGGTAGCCGATGCAGAACCGTATTCCACCGCCCGATTTCCGAATCATCAGGACCGGGCTCGCCCACGGACTGTTCGAGGGTTGAATCAGGTTCAGCTCCGAGTACTGCTGGATCTCCGCTTCCATGACCTCACCTTCAGCCAACGAGAGACGGTACGGCTGCTACTTGATCGGAGCACTGTCACCGGTGTCGATCTCGAATTGCAACAGATCCGTCCGTCCGGGCTTCTTAGAAGAGTCCACAAACATGCTGCGAAAACCGTTCCGTTCTCCTTGGAACAGTTCCTTCTGCTCCGGCGACAGTTTAGACTCCGAGAAATCGGCCTTCATAGCTTCCGCTTTGTCGGGCGGGATGTCCGGCTTCGTAGCCTTCACCTTCTCACCGACGTCCACTTCGCGCTCCTCAGACACGGACGCTTCACGCTCCTCCTTGGGCTCGCCACCTTCGGCGGGCACCGTTCCCTTCGGACCAACCGTTTGACGCTCCGCACCCTTCGGATCGACCGTTGGCGGCTCGAAAGCCGACGCCGGGATCACGGAAGTGCACGCAATGACTGTTCCTTTCCGGATCCAGTACTCATCCGTAGACACATTGCAAACTTCGACGATGACCTGGCCTTCCTCGACCGTGCACAACGACCGTGCCACACACAGCGTCGGAGGCAGACCAAAGATCCTTCGACCAGAACGGTCGCCTTGTCACGACGGCTCCCACGACACGAGTCATCACGAGAGCTTGGCCACGCGGCTGCAACCGCACCGACATCGCCATCGTCGTCATCTACGACTCCTGCACCATGGAGAAACCTAGCGTCAACACTTCGCCCGTACTCTTTAGAGTTACGTTCGTTCCGACACGTCGATCACGGCGCCGAACGCCCCTAGGGCGTCAACACCCAGGATCGCATCGACGTGGAGACGGTCAGCGACCAACAAGCTCATCGAGACTTCGACCGTTCCAAGACGGAGAGAGAGAGTAATCCAACCACGAATCCGCAACTTGTGCCCCGAGGATCTCCTCACCAGGCCATCGTACGGTTCCAGCGGTTCGGACGGCCGTCCTAAACGCTTGAGCAGGCGTCGATCCACGAGACTTAGAGTAGCGCCAGTATCCGCTAGCATTTGAGACGGTAAACAGTCAATATAACCGCTCGAGAGAGCTTCAAAGCTGCCAACTGCACACACCACCCGGCGTCCGTCCTCAACGGCGCGATACACGTCACACTCATCTCCATCTTCATCACAGAGTCCAAATCCGTTAGGCGAGTTGACCGTGACAACTTCCACGAGACTGGTCCTTGGTAACGGTGTCCGAGCAGGACGCTCGCACCGTACCACCTCAACGTAATGAGAAATGTCCTCTTCGCGCTCAGGGTAGAACTCTACGTCTCCCAGTACTTCGGCATACGGTTTGTACAACGACGAAAAGTCAAAGCAACCCTTCTTCTCAGGCTGACGGCGACGGCGGCGCCTAGCCCTAGGCGTCCTCGACCGTCCCGTACGGTCCCACAGGTTCGTCCACACTTGACCCGCGTTCACCTCGAAATACGACTTGATTCCCGGTTTCAACCGTCCACAGCAATCTCCCTTCAGACCATACTGCTCCACAACACGGTTGACGTGCTCGCGTAGCCGTTACTGTAATGGGCCTACTTTGGCTCACTACTTTAGCTTACCCGTGTGCGAGTGTATGTGAGGAAGCGTAGCTTAGATTAAATTAGAGTTAATTATACACGGACCTCTGAGTATAGACTAATCTAAATAAACGATCCAAATAA